GGAGTCGCCGAACACGTGATGGGAATCGCGGAAAACGCGGAAATTGTTCTGCGGGTCTCTGATGAGAGCGCGCAGAGCTGTTTGCGTTCTTTGCGGACACCCGCTGAACAGATCCAGCGGACAGTAAGCCGAGCGTCTTTGGATTGAGCCCTTCTGGAGCTGAAGAGACACACAATTACTAAACTGTGAATTGAGAGACATTGAGCTGACCTTGAGGAACTGCGAGAGACAGTATCGCGAAACACGTGACTTGACTTTGAACTCGTGCGACAGCAGCGCCTCTTTCGGCAGAAACCCGCGCTTCGGCTTCACTTCGATGCAAACGATCGGCCCTTCGGTGCGAAAGTCGCGCAAATGCTGCGGAAGACAACAATAGTCGGGCAGCAGCAGAGCGGCCGTCTGTGCGCACGCGCTGTCCGCGCATTGGATGCCTTTCGAGAGTCGGAAACCTATATAAAGAAGACAGTGGTTAGAGTCGGAGGTCACGCGAACAAAACACTCGGAATACTCGGGCGTTTGTCGCCGATGAGTTTAGCGATGGTTTTCATCTGTTTGCGCGACAACAACGCGATTCTGGGCGTGGAGTAGAAGTCGGGCGAAATCACGTGACGCACGACAGTCTCGACGAAGTGGATGTGGCGTTGGATGCGTTGGAAGGACTCTTCGCACGACTGCTGGCCGTCTTCGGGCGCGTGTTTGAAGAACCGCAACACATCTCTGCCGAGGGACACGACGAGCGCGGAGTTGCCTTCGCCCCTATACTGCAGATCGTCCGCCGCCTCGAAGTCCAAACGAACGGTCGATTGGATCAGCATTTGGGCCAAAATGAAGACTCGATTTCGTCATGAATTGGTTTACGCATGACTTGCAGTGAAAGACACTGAAAGTCAGTTCAAAGCTTATCGCTTGTTTACATCAGCGCTTTCGGCCCTTTCGACACAGAGTGTAGCTCTCAATGGCTGTGAAAAGGGACCAAAAGTGCGAATGAAAGTGAGATTCAGTGCAAAAGTGTTTACAAATAAAGTGAAAAAAATTGAAACGAATTTCAAATGGATGTAAAAATCGGAAGAAAAACGTCCGGAAATTGGACTCAAAGTCACGCGTAATAATGAGGGAAACATTTTCGCCACACTTTCACTCACTTTGTCCTCAATTGCAGCGAAAGACTGGAATTCTGTTCGGAATTCGCGGTCACGAGAGCCGCTGTCAACGCTTCCGGACGTCTCGTGGC